GAGCAGGACCCTAGGAAGCTGAATTTCATAAATAAGTCGAATAAAGTTGAGCACTATTTATTTGAGCAATACAAAAAGACAAGCGATGGGTAGATAATATACAAAATACTAATTATAATATCTCTAATAAATATAAAGTAATGACAAATATTTCTTTTATCAAATGGCTGAGCAAATGTTTAATGAAAGAAGATGTTAATGAAAATTTACAAAATAATAGGTTGATATGAAACGATTAAATCGCTGTAATGACAGAGTTGCAAACATACGGTTTTTAATAAGACACCCAGTTTTTCTTAGTTGTGGGCCACTGAGATTCAGGAGTCAGGAGCAATTACACCCATTTGCCCCCTTCTCCCCAAATCCGGCCATGAGCTTCCCATGTCTAGAATTACGCGGATTTTCTCTAACTGATTCCTTATATGTGCATAACATCATTATAAGCATATCTCTGTGTAATGATTTTGAAAAACTGCGAGCTACCGACGAACACAATTTTTTTGCAAAAGCAACTTTAGCTTGTTTGACATCAAAGATAAATGACTTCCGGCACATGCTCCAGTTTAGCAAAAGGGTTAGTAGCAGGAAGATAATATAAAGTCTTAAAAATGCAAAAAAAAAAAAAAGATTAGTTGCTATGTGTATATATGTGTGTTTCGTAAACAAGTTTATAGATGCTAAAGCCACACTTTCCACATACCGGTATAACAAAATTACGAAGTATGTAGCCAGAAGTAATCAATGAAGTCGGACATTTAGAACTAATAGAAAAGCTATATTTACATTATTTAATATTTGAATTTAAATGCATAAATTATTACACTAATACGTTCTAACTAATATAACTAACAGTATTATCAGACACTACTTTAAGCAAACTAACGAAATTATGCCATACTATATAAAAATATGTTATACATGTGCAATAGCAAGCGAAGATATCAACGGTCTCTCAACGTACTCAGATTGTTCATTACTTCTTTATTAAACCAAATAACAATAACTAAGGTGTAGTTATGATAGTTTTAAAAACGTCATCGTATTCTATCAAATACTTAATGTCACATGCGATAGTAAGTAAAACTAGATAAAGTCGTTGTTCAATTACGGTAAAAGATACCTCGTTTGTAGATAGTAAAGTATAGTTTATAACGTAAAACCTGCTAATTTTGAATCATGACGTAAATGGAATATTTGAATTTGTAAATGAAACATTTATAGCCTCGATATTAGAGTGTTTTATTAAGTATCTAAATTTGAGTATTTGATTAACGATCTGTACATCTAAGTTCAAATTAATGTATATACTTTGTAGTGAAAGTCCTTTCCATGACGAACTCAGATGGATAAATAAACTTAGAAGTGTAAAAAAACAACAACAAAAAAAAACCTAGAAAATTCGGTAAAATTAATAACCCGTGACGTCGATATACCTAAAAAGCCAGACTAATAGCAAAGCTTTATTGTAGTCTTTCTTACTAACTTTTATTATGAATGAAAATTGGAGTTAAAATATTTACAGATCAGTAATTGTACTCGGAGGTTTAATCCATTTGTTGCATACGGTGAAGTGGTAAATTTAGGTTGAAAAATAAATGCACCTAATATCAGTAATATGCTACTATTTATACAAGTTATATTTGCTCAAATTTGACTTAGTAAAAATAATTATATTTTTTGTCAAAGTGATTTTTGTTTTCAGTCTCTTAAACTTAAAGTTTGTTTTCCTCTTTCCAAACTATTTATTATATCTTTTTAATTAAAGTGTTATTCCGTCAACGCATGACTTTATTAAAATAATTACGATTACTGTCCAAAATTTATGGGTAAAGCCGTAGCTCATTGAATTTTATAAGAAGTAAAAGTGGTTAAAATCTTTTTTCAGGTGTTTCTGTTTCATCTGTTCCTGTACCGCGCAGTTACAAACCTGTGTGTGACATTGTGTTATTGGAAGAAAAATATAAACAAAAAAGGAGACAAGTTTCACTTAGAATTAATGATAAGATGCTGCTGAAAAATACTCATACAATAAAACCTATACTTTAGATGCTAAATGCCGAAAAATACTTTCATTTTAAATCGTCTTTATTAGATTGCTATGCGCTAACACTATCGATTTCTATATCTCAGTCAAGCTATTAGCGCGTATGCGTCTCGCGTGTAGTCACCGGAAAGTTACTAGCGGCCACATTGGGGATCTCAAAGCAACATCCGAGTGTGTTACGGGTGTGATGTGACCCCACTAAACAGAAAAATAAACAAAAAAGAGTGGGTGAAATGCCTTCATGTTCTGCCTTAAACTGTAAAAATCGGGTAGGAATTGCTAGCAAGAAGAAAAATATCACATTTCATAAGTAAGTCGATCAAGTTAGATATATAATCTAGACTTAGATGTGTTATAGCAAATCTAGATGTAGATTTTGTAGGCCTAACTTAGACTAGACTGTAGACACTAAGCACGCCCATACGTGTCACGTCCATGATCACTGGGGCTGATTTCGGTAAATAACTCGATATTTATAAACATGGTCAAATTTCAGTTAAATCAATTAGATGCCATGCATGGTTCAGGTTGGAATATTAAATTACTTTGCACGTACTGACTTCATTAAGACTGAAGGCAGGGTTTAGGGCCTTTGTTAGATCTTGATCTACTTGGTGATATTAATTTCAATCTCAGAGAATATTCCTTATGATTAGATCTTATTAACATTAATTTTAGGTCAAGCCTTATCACATAAAATTTGAGAGAACCTATTTATAATATATGCTTACTAATTCCAACTTAGTTAATTTATTGAATGATATACAATATTGTAAGAATGATTGAATAACAAATTTAGTGCACACCAAAAAAATATGTTTGTACCCATGAACAATGACATTTTATTACTTCTTTTTTTTTAAGATTTCCCACCAAAAGTGATCCCGAACGCTCAAAGAAATGGGTGATCAACATGTGCCGTGATAACTTCAAGCCACATTCGCATTCCTTATTGTGCTCTGTCCACTTTACTGAAGAGTGTTTTGATAAGACTGGACAGATCGTTCGACTTAAGACAGGTGCAGTTCCAACAATCTTTAGTTTTCCACGTACTTTGCAAAAAAGCAAGGTAAGAATGAGAGGACTGTGAATGAATCCAGTATAAAATTCTTTGTTGTAGTATTACAACGAACCTTTTATTTCAGCCGTATCTTCCTTTCCAATTTTTATATAGTTATATATGAATTAGTTTTATAATTTTTTATTTTATCTTTTTCGATTTTGTTGTATTTATCATTTCTGTATGCGTTTAATCTCCTGTTAGGACAGCGTAAATCTCCGGACTTACAACGCTAAAATCTGGGGCTCGATTCCTCGCGGTGTACACAGCAGATAGCCCAATGTGGCTTGGCTTAAACAGCAACAGCCACAGGTGTATGTTTTTAGAACCTTATGCTTCTTATGGATCATGTGTGTGCTAATAATAATAAGCTTATTATTTTTTATTGCAATCGGTTCCAATTTGAGGTGCATCGTTGACGATGATGCTCATAACATATAATAATATAGGCCATGAATTGATCATATTAGTGACTGTGATTGATGATAATGTTAGTTCGCTGTAATAATAATTAATAATTACCACGATGATCATTTTAGTGGCTGTGTTATGACAACGACTGAAACTGGAATTATATTATTCTATGAAAATGCCGACTTACTAAATGGAGAAATGGTGAAGCTAGTTTCACACAAAATATGTTGGTATTAACTTATAATGGTGGTTATAATCCTATTAGTAAACTTATGGCGATGGATGTATAAGACTAAACCATTGTAATCTATGAAATTATGAAGACAATGATGACTAATGTCTTAGGTAGTGGTTTTCGTGACTTTAAATTTAAATATTTTGTTTATGTTTTCGAGTGCCCTTTAATGTTTGTGGAAGAAATCTCTATTCTAGGAGTCGGTCTTTCATTTGGTGTTTTTTCCCTTTTTATTAAGTAGTTTAAAAAGGTGTAATCCCCCTACTAATGGTTACTAGTGCATGCCCATATAAGGCTTGGGTTAGGAGTAAATAATGAGTTTCATAAAAGGTTTTTTTTTTAAGGGGGAAGGGCAAAGAAAGATGACTTCACTTCGTCTCCCTAATTCCGCTGTGGGCCCTACTCTGTGGCGTAATTTGCGTATATGTATTCAATCAACCTGACTAGAAATGTCACACAGTAACTGCCATTTCCCCCGAACTCGGGGGCTCTCCACAAAATACACCCTTGGAGAGTTTTACTAAGTGTTGAAGTTTATCTCTCTATTATATGGAGCTAATAAATAAGTAAACATTGAGTTGAAATAAGTAAATAAACAAATAGAAAATAAATAAATGAATGTAAAGTGTAGACCTTTCACCCTCATTAACTTTCCGCACTTATTTTTTTCAAACTAATTCTATTTTTTCCTCATTCAGCAGGAGCCATGACCAAGCCTCTATTTGTTGTGACTTACGATATAACGGCTCATTGGCATCATTTTCGCATATATTTGAACCACTCAACAAAATATGAAAATCGATGGCTAAATAATTTGTTTGAGTAATTCAACAAAATGTGATAATCGATAGCTGAAATATTACAATCACTGATCTCTATCCTGAACTGGATTGAGCATTGAATCTTTCACGTGAAGTCACCGGAAGTTGTAAAGTGGCCATCTTGTTGGTCCCTTGTTGTACTTACAGTTGTTAAGACGTATTGTGGAGTTTAACTTATACTTAATGTAAAAATGCCAATGTGTGTGGCATGGAACTGTAACAATAGACCAAGAGCTGGCCCTGTGTCGTTTCACTGGTAAGTTCACGTTTTTCTTTCTTTTTTACCCCCCCCCCCTCCCGTGTAAATAAATTACATTGTTAGATATATAACTTAATAAGGCCTAAGTAGTAAAGGCAGTAACGTTACTTAACTGAGGAGAACTTTTTATTTGAGCAAATATTATAAATATCGTTTTTAAGCTCAAAGTTTTCTTTTAGTTTTATTATGATGTAGTAGTTGTCAACTTCGTAGATTTCATGGATTTTCAAATTTCATACAGTTTTCCCTGGAGACAACCTGAACTATTGAAAAAATGGATTGCAAATATTCGGAGAGACAAATGGTATCCTACAAAAGCCTCCAGGTTGTGCTCTGTTCATTTTGAAGAAAAATATTTTGATAGAACAGGACAGAATGTTCGTCTAAGAGATAATTCTTTGCCAACTGTATTTTCGTTTCCTGAGCATCTACAAAAGGTATGTTATCATTCTAAGTTTGGCCCGTTAGGAGTATTCTCTTCTAATTACTCAAATATTTCTTTAGACTGATGAAAATTGAGTTGTTTATTATAAGAAAACTTTTATCATAATTTATGTTCAGCTGTCAAGTTTTATTTGATTTAGTTTTTACATACATAATGATAAGTTATGATCAGAGTTAGTTATATGCTACAAAAAAAAAAAAAAATTACAACCTGGTCATCAGAACAGCTAATTAAATATACTTTTCTTATATTTATGCTTATAAAGACTAGAATGCATTGTTTCATTAGTTGGTTACCCTTGCTGCTAGCATATTAGATTTATATTATGCATAAAGTTTGCATTAACAAAACTAAATAAATCTGTTTTGTTTTGAATTTCATGTAAAACTCTAGAAGGGCTATCTATGATAACTGTCCCTAATTTAGTAGCGATGGACTATAGGGAAGGCAGCTAGTCAATACCTCCCACTGCCAACCCTTGGGCTTCTCTTTTTACCAATAAATAATAGACTGACTGTCACATTATAATGCCCCCATGACTGAAATGGAAAGTATGTTTGATGATGGAGATTCGAACCTTTGACCCTCGGATTGGGAGTTGAGTACCTGAATCACCAGGCCAACTAAATAAGCAAATGAAATAAACTTATATTTTACATAGGCCTACAGAACTGTCAAGAAACTAATCAACAGAAAATTTTCAATTAAATATTTATTGTAATCTATTCTGTATCCGAGTAAGAGAATAACACCTCTGTGAAATCAGTGAGAATATATTGGAAATATACTAAGCAGTTATGATACCATTGCTGTTTCTAAGAAGGTTAATTTCTATATGTGATTTTTGTAGTGCTCATTGGTATGTCTGTTTTTACTGAAAACTTCAGTTCTCTTCTTGAGTAGCACCATATCATTTCAGTAGAAGTTAATAGTTAATAAGAAATATAGCAAAAATTGCAATAGTCAAGCAATAAAGCAGATTGTCCATGTAATGAATTACTTCTTTTAAGAAAGAGAAAGAATATAAGTGGCTTTAGTAAATTATTCATTCACTGCAATTTTATTCCACCAAATCCTGCAGTTTTGTGAGGTATACTTTCAGTTTTGATTTACCACATTCATCTGTTATTCAAAAGTGGTATCAAAGCATCAATGGGACACCAGGCTTTACACAGAAAGCATTTAATGCATTATAACAAATGGTAAATAGAAGAAGAGAAGGAACCAGTAATGGTACTTGTGCTTTAATGTTAGATGAAATGGCCATATGAAAACCTATAGAGTGGAGTGGAAAGACATTTCTTGACTATGTTAAACTTGATGCTGATATATAAGACAATATATCTCCTGTTGCCAGTGATGTACTAGTGTTCATGATTGTTTCTATAAACAGCAACTGGAAGATACATGTTGGAAATTTCTTTAGTAATGATATGACAGAAGAAGAACAAAAACACTTGGTGAGAATATGCCTACAAAAACTGTCATATGTTGAGATTACAACCATGGCACTTGTTTGTGATAGTCCAAGTTACCAATTCTCCATGTTGAAAGAACTAGATGCCAGTATAACACTTGCAGTCATGCTTTTTCTACTTAGTAACCAAAACTGAAAAATTTATGTTGTACTTGATTTATGGCACGTGCTAAAGCTCATTCGAAACATTGAGTATGAGAAGAAGAAAAAATGGAGGTGGTGAATATATTAAATGATAGTTCATTACCATTTTGCACGAATTGCAAGAACAAGAAGGCTTACACTTAAGAAATAAATTATGATCTATGCATTCAGTAACAGAAGTAAAAAATAAAAGTTTACATTTCAATACAAATGTCAAGTTCAAGTGTGGCAGATGCCATAAAATTTTGCAACAAAGACACAAACCTAATTCTGTTTAAAGGAAGGGAGCCTAAAGTTAAATTTATAAGAACATTTAATAGGCTTTTTGATTTGTTCAACTCCAGAAATCCATTGGTTAATTTTTTTTTCTTTTGCAGCTATTAAATTATCTTGCAGTTGTAATAACAACTCTACTGTTTAACAGTTTACACCTGTATATAAAACATCACTTATGTGTCATGAATTAAAAAGTATTGGCCAAGATGAAACATTAATGCCACAAAGAGACTACACGATATCTCCCAGTGATTCTATAGATGTGTGTGATACACGGGTATGATCTTGAAGTACACAAGCCTGTACATGATGATCATGATTATGAAGATACTCCAAACTTAACACCACTTTCTCTCTATAAGAAAGCAGTTTTTGGATACATGTCTGGTTAGTCAGAGTGGCACAAAAAATCAAGCATTATTTGGAGGCCTAGATAGGTGAAAATACTAGAAACTTGTAACTTTTACAAAAAAAATAGAGGTGGTTTGGTAAAAGGAAGAGCAAGTGTAATCAAAATGTGTCAGGCAGCAGAAAGTTGTACTGAGAGACTCCTGAAGCCAACAAATTTTCTCAAGCAAATACACTTAGCCTTGGAATACAGAAAGAAGTTTTGAGTGGAGTTTTTTTCTGGTTTAGATGGACATATGTTATATTGTACAAGATATGATGATCGTATTTACAATTTGATGAAGTGTTTAATTATATGTTATACAAAAAAAAATTGACTGCATCACCTTGCTAAACAACAATCTGTATACGTTGCAGGTAATAAAAGCTTTCCGAATTAATTTCATTTTAATATCAGTAGTTTCAAATTGAATGAAGTATAAAAGTGCTGTTTTGCATTCAAATGTATATAGTACATTTATCAACTAATTATCTTATAACTTGTGACATTAAATGTAATAAATGTATATAAATATTATGGTTTAATTTGATATAATTCAGTAGTACATGTATTCTATTAGCATACTTGTGTTAATATGTAGTACTTAAAAGAACAGTTATGTTTTATTGATAAACAACTATAGAACTTGATTGTTTTATGTTATTTCAGTATTAATATATGCAGTGTGTTTATACTGTATTTTCTACTTTACTACAGACTTGTTTAAGCTTATTCCAAAATGTGTCACTTTTATTATTAATAATACAGCAGAGCACAATAAAGTCACTTTAGACCAACCTAGTTTTGTCACTTATTGTTCTCTTTATTTTTACAATGCCAGTCGTACAAGCAAGTGTTTTTTTCAATTTACATAGCCATTTTCTTTTTATAGTTACTACAAAAATTATTAAAAAGCAACTATTAATTAATTAAAATGTTCATAGTAAAGTGACAAAAAGACCATAAAAATTAAGATAATCAAAACAGAAAATGAAATAATTACAGAGCATTTAACCATCACTTGAATGCCCTTGCCACTTAATGCAGTTTACACTCAACAATTTAGAGACCATCAGTAATGCTACTGCTTTACACCAAGTATCAATACAGTAATTAGCCAGTACACAATCTAGTTCAATATAGAGATCAGTGATTACAGCTAAAGAAGTAAACTGAGCCTAGATCACTGTGTATGTGAAAGTGTTAACACTAGAAATTTTAGCATTTGCTTGTTTGTTTCATACATGTCTGCATTTGCTCAGAAAATTTTCATATTGTTTGGAACACACATATTGTTATGGAATCTAGTAGTGGAGAGTTTTATGGTGTTTATCACTGTTCAGATCAAGGATGCAAAATTGGCATGAAAAACATGTGTGGAACTCCAGCATCATGATGAGTATGAAGTGATGTGTGTGTCCATGTAATTGTTGTGTAAGTTATTAGGAGTACAATATCACATCACACTCATAGAATTAGACCATTCTCTTAAAACTTTAAAATAAAGATGTTGGAAAAAAATTGCTAGAGTAGTTATTCCCTTCAGTCATGCTTTCTGTAATAAACATATCAATTTTTTCTCACTGTAAGACTATGAGATCTTTATTGGTCTGCCCCATTGTATGTAGACTTTACTGTTTTGGTAATTGCATTTATGTTATTAGTCTTTTACGGGGTATGCTAAATCATCGTCTTGAATATTCATGTGAAGGTTTCTGCTGTCTACACAGCATCAAAGTGACTTGGAAGTCAGAACACTGTTATAAACTTCTTCCAACTGTTCTCAATGAGGAGATGGTGTATAGGGAACAGGGACTGAGGAACATCATCAAAATGGCAGAGATAGTGTACCAGTGTAGCATTTGCTTAAAATATTTAGTTACGATGCAGAATATGTTTGGCAAGCAGTATTTCCTCCACTCTCATCTACAGTAGCGTTGATTTCATAATAATTATTCTATTCAAGAAACAAGAGTTATCCCTGATAATAAACCTTGGACATTATTACTTTGCTTAGTATTGTCATCATTAAGCTCTTCTTCGAACAAAAAAAGCAAGGAAGACTGTTGTATGCTATTCCATTTTGAAAATGTTTTGGTTTTCTTGATTCATTTAATAGAAAAAGAACACTTCTGGATAGGTGAATCATATATATCAATATATTGCAATATAAGTAACAATAAAGATTACATGTACATTTCAATTCATTTTAACATGAACTCATAAAATTGGCCATGAAGTAAATATTTAGAGAAATAAACACACACGCCTAAAGAAAAGCAGATATTTTTTGTGAGTATAACATGATGCATATACTCTTTGAAAATATTACACAGTGTACTATAGACCTATATCACGTAAACTTGATGAAGGATATTTGCATAAAACATCACAAAAAAAATAAAATTTTCATTTATTTGTGTGATAACCTATTAATTTTTCTGAATACTTACCATGTCTTTTGGAAGGATGTTTATTTGTTTGTACTTTGTGGTTTAATCAGTTATTTGAAATTTACAGTTTGCCAGTTTTTAATCATCTGCAATTACAAGGCTACAGTACTGTAAATTTTGCATATCCCAAAATCATTGATTTTGAGGTCTGTGTAGGCCTACATTTCTAATAGTAATAGCAGTTCTGTTGATATGAAACTTTAAAGATGTAATATCAAATGTGGATATGGAAAACACTGTTGTAAGTAATTGTA